ATTCTTGCCCCCTTACACTTTTAAAAGCAGTAAGTTATTTTAAATTATGCAAAGCCTTAAAATTATGAAAGTTTCCTAATGATTTCCAGAAAGCTAAGTGATGTGTAAATCCAGAAAAGTTTTGAAATAAATCCCATCTTCCTCACAACTCAAAACATGCTATGCAACATTCATGTACACACCTGTAACTCCTAAAGTTTTGGCAAAAGGTAACTACAACACTGCACATTTTAATCACAATTGTCATAACCAATATTATTTAAAAAAGGCAGCAAGGCTGATCAAGATGGGCGAATGTCTCGCATATGTCACAGCCTGCAATGACACTGCAATAGGAAGGAAAGTATTAATGAGGCAAAAATGGTGCACACAAGCCTTCGGAAGATCAACAACATTGGTCTGCTTCATATCTTAAGACTACAGAAATGTTTTTAAAGGGCTTTAAATGCTGTTTGCTGTCTATGTGAAAACTATGTATCCTGTGCTGAGTCTGAAAAAGATCTGAATTTTCAAGCAACTTTGTTTCATGACACCCCAAAGACAAAAGCAAAGTCCTCTTTCTTTGTAGGTTCAGGCATTCCCAGGCACAGGGTCCAGCTTTCATACAGCAGGTGCCCAATAGGTGCTGGCTGGATTCAGTTGCTTCATACAGCACATTCTTACAAAACAAATGAAACCAGATTTAAAAGGAAGCTAGTGTCCCTTGAGGACTCCCCTTGGCAAAACTGGAAGGGGACAAGTGAAAATGATACAGTTGATTTTCATTACTGCCCTGATCTTGCAACAATACAACAGGCAGGAAACATTTTCATTAGTAAACTAAGCCTTAGACAAAGACTAAAAACAAAAGTAAACAACAATTACTCTCTAGGTCTTTTCCTATTAAAAGGCTAAGGTAAATTTGGATAAAGGCATAACAGTTTAAAAACAAAAAATGCCTTTGCTATATTTTTAAATCTTTTATTCCATAAGAAATTTTGTTTTTTTAAAAAAATTAGTGTATGTCTGAAACAACTACTGCATCCTACAAAGATTCTTCCTCCTGCTCAGATTCCAAAGCTATTTAAGAAATAAAAGTAGCAACAAAGAAAAAAAAAACCACTATATTAAAATGAACAGTTCATCCTCAGTCTTTACGACCAGGATGGTTAACACTGGATATCAAAAAGGAGAGTGGAAACTCTTTACCATTTTAAAACGCTACATTATTTCTCTGTTGGAAAACATATGTAAGAAAACTGGAAACACAAAAAGCCATCCAGACTCAGCTCCTAAACTCTAATCTTGGAAAGACCAACATCGTTTCAGATTCAGTTAAGGATTTTACTGTCACAAATCTACTTACAAGCATTTGTGTTTTTTTAATCCAACCCTTCAATCCTTAACTTGAACTATGGATAAGCAAGATTTCTTTTTCCTTTCTGTTCATTTCTCCTATGACTGAACCCTTTTAATGAGATGGTCACAATGTTTAAAGTGCACATGATTTTAAAAAAAAGTCATCAGATTATCTATCACTCGTAAACTTCAATTATCAGTTTGTTGTATTGCTGTAGTTCATGTCTCTGAAAAACTCCATATATTAAAAAAAAAAAAAAAAAAAGAGACATCAACCTGCTGGATGAATTTAGTTAATTTTAATCTAGCTTCTACGTTCAAACTAACAGAATGCATTCTTTTCAAACTTAGCATATATTTTTTTTAAAAAGTCTACTGGGATATAACTCACATACCATAAAAGTCACTAATTTAAAGTGTACAATTCAATGGTTTTTAGTATAGTCAGAGAGTTGTGCAATCATTACCACAATCTAATTTTAGAACATTTTCATCACCCCAAAAAGAAACCCCGTACCCATTAGAAGTCACTCCCCATTCCCTCCTCCCCCAGCCCTAAGCAACCACTAATCTACTTTCTGTCTCTGGATTTGCTTATTCTGGACTTCATATAAATGGAATCATACAATACGTAGTCTTTTGCGACTGACTTCTTTCACTTAGCATGATGTCTTTAAGGTTCTTCCAGTCAACCTTAGCCTATTTCTTAAGGTTAGACCTTTCTAATCCTTCTGAAATATCAAACATATAACCTTTTAAACTTCAAATCCTGACCCACACCCCATCCGTCCTCAAAAGCACCATTTACTTGCTTTTTCACTCTGGAGAATCTAAACTATAATTTGCTATTTAGGTTCTTTCCAAACTTCTTATTCTGGGCTCTTCTTCTGGTAATAAAACACCAACTTCTTTAAATACCAATCTTTCGCATACCTATATTTCTCTGACAATAGGATATGACTGTGCCTGGGGCAGAAAGATGACTGAACCCTTTTAATGAGATGGCCACAATATGTTTACAGCACACATTGACTGAAAAAAAGAAAGTCATCAGATATTTTGGCTATCACTCATAACTTCCAAAGCTCTCCTACTTAGAGGCTCTGTTCGCATTATATTGATAGAAAACAAACATGTCTGTATGACTTCATCTGCTTCAAAGACTTCTAAGTTTTCTAGGTTAAAGATAAAGAAATCACGCTACTACTGTCGCAGGCAAAGAGAAAACACTAATCCCTAAATACACCAACACAATAGGGAACCAACACCACCCCAATCTTCATTACTCTACTAGACAGCCAAAAGAATGTGGGTCTCTAACAGGACTCAGTTTATTTCCACCAGAGTTAAGTGTTCTTGCACCTTTTGGACTAAAAACCGATCTCACGCTCACAGTGAGCATACCATTTACTCCTCAAAACTTCAGAGCTGTAGGGAGGGGCAGAGACCGAGTTAGAAGTTCAACAAACCATAATCAGGATTTGGGGTGCCTTCTAGCCACCCACCAGGTTTTCAGAAATCAACCATTTCAAGGCATCCTTAAGAAAAGCTTTGGCTACTGGGATTATAAACATACATTAAAATAGCCCTTCCCCTCCTGCCTGTTTTCTCAAGAAAGAGCCGCCTTTTACAAAGAATATTTCTCACGAAGAATCGCTCCAAACAGCAAGACATCCTATTTTAAAATGCCCGACTCCTGCCTCGGAGAAGCAAGGCCATCACTGCTATTGTGAATTTCGGAACTTACTAACATTAAATAATAAAACTAAAGACGCTACACAGTTCAATAGCATGCCATAATAAAATGGATTAACTCTCCTGTGTCTTCTAAACTATATTTAGCTTTTAAAGGCTAGAAACCCTCCTCTGTCCCCCTAAACACCATCTGTAAGCCTTAGAAGGGAGCCGAAAGCCTTTCGCCCAATCCAGTGAGCTGAAAGTTTAGAAAACAAAGAGCAGGAGAGCTCAGATTTGTGGAAGGTCCGGCCTCAATCCGCGCTGTACTCCACGCAGTAAACACGCTAATTCTACAAAAGTCTGCTCTTACTCCGTCATGGACGCATTTCTTACAAGACGTTGAAGAAGGCTTGACACAAACAGCCTTTCGGAATTGCCCCCGTCATGGGGCCAGACAGCCCCCGCTGCCTCTTGATTCTCCCCCTCACTCTTCAAGGCTCAGTCGTGATTTTTCAAAGTTAATTGGCACCACCTGCATACCCTCGGCAAACATTACTCACCGACCCACACGCCCTCATCGTTCCCAGCCCCAGTTCTGCCACCGCATTTAAACTTTAATCGTGTTCAAGTTGCCCACCGTCGTGAATGTACCAGTAAGCGACACTTTAAATTTGAGAAGAGCAAAACCCCCTCCTCCTCCTCCTCTCTCCACACACCATGGGGCCCTAAGTTCTTCCTCCCTCCCCGAACTTCCCTACCCCTACCCGACGCTACCAAAACAAAAGCTATCTGATCGCAAGCGATAGCGAGCGTGAAGCGACATTGCTTATTAACTGTGTACAAAAGAAGTGCGGAGCTGGGGGGAGTGCGACACAACGCTGGCCGCAAAACCCAGGCCAGGGCTCCGCGCTCGCAAAACAAAACCCCCTCCTCCCCACCCCCGCCGCCACAGACCCTGGCGCTCCGCGAACCGCCGCGCACACCACCTCTCGCCAGGGCCAGGCGTGTAGGTGTCCCCGCGCGGCCGTGTGGCAGCGGCTACACCCCCGCGTTGCGAGCACGTGTGTGGAAATGCACGTCGGCCCCGACCGCACACCCACTCGCGCACACGCGGATGCTGCCCAACCACCCCTCCAGCCCCGCCAGGAGGAGAGTAGAAACTGGGAGAAGGTCCCAGGACCCTCTGAACCAGGGGCCCCGGACGCGCTCCCCGGAAGAGCCTGACTGATGCAGGGCCCTCGACCTCGCATCTTTCCAGAGGCTGCGTGGGGGGCGGGGGGTTGTCTAGGCAGGAACGTTGCCCCCACCCCCGAGCCGCACAGAGCAGCCCCGGGAAGCCGGGGACAGGTAACTTGCCGCGGACCAAGCGAAAGTGACGGGAAAGGCCAGGAGCCCTAGGGGCAAAGCACGTTGGGCGGCAGGAGGCCGCGCTGGGGTGTTTGGAAACGTTTCCTGGGGCTGCGGGGCCCCTACCGGGCACCTCCCCGTCGTGGGCAGCTTGCACCCCACGGGCTGCTGGGCTCCCCGCCACCGGGCACCAAGTCTGCCCCAGCAGCGAGGGCGCCGCGCGGCCGAGGGAGCTGTCACCGCTGTCTGCGCGCTGCGCGGGGCCAGCACCGTGTGCTGAGCGGCCCCGCGCGCCGAGAGGGGCGAGGGGCGAGGTGCGGGAGGCCGGCCCCAACTTCCCCGACGGAGTCCCAGCGCCCGGGCCGCCGGGGAGCGAACGCTGCCGAGTGAGCCGGCCGCGGGCAGGGCTCCCGGGACAGCGAAAGAGAAAGCCCGCGAGGCCCCGCGCGCGAGGATGCGCTGAGCCCGGGCCCGCAGCCGCTCGGGCCTCTGGCCGGGTCCCTGGGCGCCCCGCCCCGCCGCTCCCGGGCCCGGGGGCCCGACAGCTGCGACGGTGGCAACTCGGGTTTCGCAAACAGGGCGCAGCCCCTCGGAGGAAAAGTTCCCGCAGTGGCCGCGGGCGGCGGGCACATACTCACTTTCTCCACTCGTCGGCCAGAGCGAGAGCGCGGCGGAGAAAAACAGGAGCCCCCACAGCGAGGTCGGGGACCCTCCTCCGGAGCCAGACTTCATTCCTTTTATTTGGGACGAAATTCCCTTCTCCAAAAAAAAAAAACGAAAAAAAAAAAAAAAGGAAAGGAAAAGAAAGTCTCAAACTCAGTCTTCGCCCCCCCTCCACAAACCAGGGCGAGGAAACAGTCCTGGAAGGCGGCGCCGGGCGGCCCGGCGGGCTGCGCGGACGGGGCGGGCGGCGGAGCGGGGCGGCCCCTCAGCGCCGGGAACCGCGGCCCAGCGCTCGGCGGAATCGGGAACCCGAGGCGCGTCGGGGCGGGCTGTCGGCGTCGTCGGCCTCCATTTTCAAACCCATAGAAGCAGGAGGGGGAAAAAACTGCACAGAAACGGGGCAAAGCGCAAATCCGTCTCGACGAGGCAAAACCACCCCGACCCCAGACAGAGGGGGAGGCTGCCGGCCGCTCGAGCCCCCGCGCCGGGAGGGCGCGACGCAGTTCGCAAGATTGCCCCGAAGTCCGGGTGGCGGGCGAGGCCGGCCGGGGGCAGAAATGCGGAGGAAAAATGAATGAGCGGCTCCCCCTCCTCCGCCTCCTCCGGGCTCCGCTCGCCGCCGCCGCCTCCCTCAGCGCCGCCGCCTCCGCCGCCGCGAGCTCCTTCCCAAATCCAGGACACACACAAAGCGGCGGGCCGGCCGCGCCGCGCTCGGCACTCCCGCCGCGCCGCCCGGGCTCCGCGCCGCCGCCGCCCGCCCCGCGCCGGCCCCCGCCCGGCCCCCGCCCGCCGCCGCCGGCTCCGCGCGCGGGGGCTCCGGCTCGCTGAAGGTCAAAGCCGAGGCGCGCGGCGCGCCGTGGGGCTCCCCTCGCGCGGGAGGGGCGTGGAGGGCCCGGGGCGCGGGGCCGAGGGTCTGCAAGCGCCGGCTCGGGTGCGCCGGGGGCAGGCTCGCTGGCGGCGTCCCTCCCGCTCGCTCGCCGCTCTCGAGTTCGCCTGGTGCGCTCGCTCCTCCTCGGGTTTTTTCCCTTTTTTTTTTTTTTCCGCTCAGCGGAGTTAATGCTGGTAAACAAGAGCCTCAGCCTCGCCGCGCCGCTGCCGCCGCCGCTGCCACACACTGGGGGCTCGCGCGCGCGCGCTCGGGCCCGCGCACACGCGCCCGCGCGCACCCTGGAGCGGCCACAGCCGCAGCCGCGGCGCGCCGAGGGCCCGGCCCAGGCCGGCGCGCGCCAAGAGCCGGAGCCCGGGATCCCAGGGACGTGCGGAGCGGAGCCCGGGCGTGGGGTGCGAGGCGGCAAGGCGCCGTCCCCGCCCCCCGCCCGCGCCAGCACACGCGCGCACACACACCCGCGCCCGCGCGCGTGCACACGCTCTCGCCCCCACCCGCACTGCGCTGGCCACCCTGCACGCGCCTTCCCCTCCCGCAAGACTCCAAAAACAATGCCCCCGGCGCCGGCCCGGGGGACGGAGGGGCTGGCTGGGGAGGAGAAGAGGGGAGGAGGGGAGGGGGCGGGGTAGGCGGAGAGTGCGGGGCCCGAGAGGTTCATTGAAAACAACAGCACGGCTGGAAAGCGCGTTTCCCCGGTTCTTGAAAAGCTTCATTGTTTCTTGCAGCTGTTGCAAAATAAATAAATAAGTGCGTGCATGCGGCATTTTTTCGCAGCATGCTGGAAAGCCCGAACGAGGCGGGAGGGGCGCACCTGGGAGAAAGGAGACCCCCAGGCTACTAAGGCGGGCACTTTCACGCAAGGCTGGGGCGGCCGCAGCGTCGCGACTGTGGAGCCCAGAGTTCTGGGGCTCGCGGGGAGCTGAGGGGGAAGGGCGCGGCCCGCGTGGCTCGGCCCAGGGACGCGAGGGGAGACGGCCCACCACCCGCCGCGGGCCCCCAGCCGGGGAAGGGGGGCCCAGACGGGCTGCCCCGCGTGCCCAGGGCGCGTCCCCGCGGCGGCCGCCAGAGGGCGCGGCATGCGCTGGGGAGGGCTGGCCCGCCGAGTGTCGCCTCCCTCCCTCCGGGAGAGGAAATATGGGGGCCCGGACTGGGGGCCGGCCGGGCTGGGTCGCGTCGGCTGGGCCTCCAGGACCAGCGGCCCGCCCTGAGAGCTCCTCACGGCCTCGCGTTGCTCGGGGCTCCACCACGTGGGCGGCTGCGGGGAGCGGCAGGGGGCGTGCACTGTGCGGGGCTGAGGAGCCCCAGAGGCTAGGGGGTGTGTCCCAGGGGCCCCCGAGGAAGGCGCAGGGGCCCGGGGCCCCAGCCGGTCTCCTGGCTGGGATCCGGACCCGGGGACACGCCGCACACACGCATGATCAGTGGTCACTGCGGAAAGCCACCCGCACCTGCCTCGGGTCCTCCCGGGCACGTTCCTCTTGCTTCCTTTGCAATGTAAGTGACTAGAAACCAGCACCAACCCCAGCTGTCCTATGTGGTTTTCTTGAATGTACCCAAGGAGAGGTTTCCCCAAAGCGAGATTGCCCTAGCACTGCCATCTAATGAATAAATGCGGCGGAGACCAGGTCCTTAAAGGGGGAAACAGCCCAGCAATGGCTGGAGAGAGGAGTTTGAAATACGTGGACTTTTAAAAATAGTGATTGGACCACGTGTCGCCTTTAATGTGGTCCGGTTTCATGACTCAGGCTGATTGATGTCAACAATAAATAAAAAGAAGATATCTAATAAAAGAGTTGTGAATGTCTAGATCGAGTAGAAGTATTTGTCTCCGTAAACAATCAGGCTGTCTGGTAGGAAGAGATCTGTTCTAAAGGAAGGGTAGTTTTCATTTTTCACTCTCTAATTGTAAAAGATTTCCGAGTTACAATATGCTTCCCATCGTTCGTAAATAATATTTTAAATTAAGAGCTGAAAGCAAGTCAAAAGCTACCCTTTTTTCTCCCTCTATTTATTCCCTAGATCATTTTTCCCCTTGGAAATTTTTAGCTCAATTCAGTGAGTCAGTTGTATAGAAAGGAAATAAATCTTTTTTTACTTGAGAGTTATTCATATGAGATTTTGTTTAACTGAAATTCAGCTTAATTTTTAAATAAAATGTTCCGATTTTATATGTTCAGGACATTAACAAAGAAAGAAATATTTTAGAATCTTTAAAAAGAAACTTAAATTTAGCATGCATTATTTAAAAATTAGGCACTACATGTGAACAATTAAAATTCCGTCTATAAATTTTTAAGTATTTCTTCAGAGAGTTCCCTGCATGATATTGGTCTTGATGCCTACGGATCCATTCTGCAGTTAAATATAGAGGAATGTCAATATTATATTTTCGTCATATCTGCTGTTTAGAATTTTTAAATACATACTTGCAAATTTAGATAAAAATTTAGAGCTGATTTTTAAGAGGCTAATTCTAATATAAAATCTTGAAATACTACACAGTATATTTTTTGTGTTAGCAATAAAAATTCCCATTCAATTGTCCCTAAAAACTTGAGGTATATAGAATAATGAGAAATGCATGGTTATTTAAATTGTAAGGGTTTCTTTATTAAAATGATTTTTCAATAGTGAATTTTTTTAATGTTTGTGTTTTCCTAAAGTAGTAGGAAATCAGTAAGATTAAATTATTTTAGACAGTGAAGTTAGATGCTTATTATTATGTAGCTTAATATTTAGAAAAAATAATCAAAATTTAGGTTGCCTTTCAGCTCTAACCTGATCACATAGACAATGAAGGCGATTTTTATTTTCTTCAATGATTACATTCTATATACTGAAGTCAAACTTATCCTTTCAACCTTCAAAATAAAATGATGTCGTAAAACATTAATCATTGTCTTTGCTTTACAACCACATTGACAATGTATCACACTTTTTTGTTTTATATAATTTTCCCCAGGTATCTTATAAATTTCCCTTCTCTTGGAGCACAAACTTGTTGCTCATTGTCATTTTTTAAAAACTGTTTATTTGAAAACAGTTTTATCTCAAATTATTTTGCTAGCTGTACCGACTCTGCAAAAATGCAATATATACCAAGTGAAAGCATGAGAAACAGCACAAATGACAACTAACAAGTATTACTAGTAATACAATAAGTTGTCGTACATCCCCAGGAAAGAATGTTATTCAGCAGCAGAAGTGAATAAGCTACAGGCACACACAACATGGGCAGATCTTTGAAAGACAACGTTAAGTAAAAAAATGCAAGTTCTGAAAAACCAGACACATGACACCATTTTGATAAAGCTCTTAAAAGCAAAGAAAGCAAAAGATATGTGGCAAATTATTTAAAGCAAGAGAATTAAACACATAGTAAAATATTTTTGTTTTGCTTTGCTTTTATTTTGGCAATCGGATTCATAAAGAACACAAAATCCAGGATCCTGGTTACCTCTGGGAGGGGGACAAAGGAGCCCCTAGGCGCATGCGATGTTCTTGGAAATATGTTTATTCACGGATTGGGTGGTGGAATTTCAGATTTCCATTTTGTAATTATGCTTTATAACTAACATATATGTTGTACATATTTTTGTATGTATAAAATATTTTTAAAGATAATAAAGACAAATATGGGAGAGATTCACAAAAGCTGTTTGTATAAACAACTCAGAAGTATTAAAAAACCCCTAAACTGACATAGTTACTCAAGGTCTCATCCTTAACGATATGTTTCAGAAGGATGTGTACTCATATCCTATCCATGCAATTCAAGACAAAAACATATAATGAAAAAAAATGTAAAAGAATTCACTTCGTAGGTAATCAGGTTCATTAGTTAAGAGTGCATTATGTGAACTATCTGGCAGTTTCCTATAAGGTTAAACATACACCTAACTTATGATCCAGCAATTCTATCCCTTGCTATTTAACCAGAAGAAATGAAAATATGTCCAAAAAAGACCTGTATGGGAGTGTTGATAGTTGGTTTATTCATAATAGCAAAAAACTGGGAACAACCCAAATGCACCTCAAAAGGAGTATGGATAAACAAATCGTGATATAAACATTCTACAAAATACTACTCAACAGTAAAAAGGAATGAACTATTCATACGTACAAAAACATGGTTGAGCCTTGAAAGAATAAGGCGTAAGCTAGGTACAAATAGTATATACTATGTATTAGTCCATTCATGCGAAGTTCAAGAGCAGGCAAAACTGGTCTATGAGGTAGAAATCAGAACCATGGTTGCCCTTGGTGGGCAGGGGGAAAGAGGAGTTGTGGAGGACCAGGAAGAAGCACAAAGCACATTCTAGGGTGATGGCAATGTTCTGTATCTTGATCAGGGTATTGGCTATGGTCTTGTTTGCATTCATGAAAAATGCATGAAACTGTACACTTAAGGTGGATGCACTTCATTGTGTGTAATTATATCTGAATTTTAAAAGTTTTAAAGAGTGCATTATGCAATTTAGAAATTTTGCAACTGTTCTAAAACAGGTTAGCATGATGCTCTCCATTTTTGCTGTTATTTGAGTTAGTAGAGATGCTCATCTCCAACCTCTATGCCCACATCTGTCTGTGCAGATAAATACACTTTCAGAGCTATGTGAAAACGCCTATAGTCCCATGCAAAGGGCTTTGGCTGTGGAAGGCACCAAGGGGTCTCCACAAAGCAGTCCAGGGTCAGGAAAGATATTCGTGGTCTCTAGTTGGTTCCAGTCTCCACACGGCCACAGCAACCTGAGTCCCAGTCTCCTTGACATCTGTTTACACTCAACTTGAGAAGATTTTCTAGTTTAGATTTGTATAGATAGCCAGCTC